AAAGAAAGAAAGAAAGAAAGAAAGAAAGAAAGAAAGAAAGAAAGAAAGAAAGAAAGAAAGAAAGAAAGAAAGAAAGAAAGAAAGAAAGAAAGCTCTACTGCATGGAGCAAAAGCACACAGGGGCATGATGTGTCAGGATTTTCAAAGATTCATCAGAACTTATCTCTGCAGAACTAGAGCTGTGCCGTTCTTATTTAAATACACATTAGTCTCCATCTGTTCTGCTTTGGCCTGGTTACAATGCTCTCAGGATACAAATGACTTTGACACATTATAGATCTCCGCAAAACAAACAAAGGCCTAACGTTCCTTCTGTTTTGGACAKAGAAGGCAGATGGTTTGGGAGAGAGGTAAAGGAAGCCGTTGACGTCAAATGAGGAAAAACTAGGTGGGGTCAGATTATAACTTTCTACATCTTACAGCAGCACTGAGCCTGATACCCAGTCAGTTTCCCTGTAATCACGTCTTAATGTTTGGGACCAAATCRTTTCTCTTGTATGCCAGGCAAACAAAGACCCGACTCTCCGCTGGTGGGGTGGGGTAGTTTAATCTGCATGTAAATCTAGTTTTCATAACTGAGTTTTTCAGATGGGAAGTGAAACATCTTCAACCACAGAATCAAAGAGTTGTTTTGTTTTTAAACTCATTTTTTTGGATTTACTGCGTCCTGGATGACTGAGAATCTATATCTCAGGTGATCTTGCGTAATCTGTTAGYGTTTGGTGAACGATCAAACTACTAACGCAACACTTTTTAAAATAGTTTGTGAAATTCATTGTTTGTGCCATTTTGTGAAGGCTAAGTTTGAATATCTGTAGCAGCCATCTTGCATTGGGTTGGTTGCGAAATGTAACCATTTCTGAAGGTTTCAGTAAAATTCAGTGATTTACGAGATACTTTGCTAATTGTACAGATAAACAGATGCATTGTCTTTCCATCTTATCCTTCAGCAGTGTGGGATAATAAACATAAATAACGTCTAAATAGCTTTTAAACAGTGGAGAAATTTTCATTTGAACCAAATTGTTGAAATGAGCAAAAAACTTCAGCTTAACACAGTGATGAGAAACTCCACCCCACKCTGTCAGAACAAGATCAGCATTATAAGTGAAGATAGACACCTAATGGTAGGGCCAGCATTTCTGGTCATCTTTTGTTTTTAATCATTACAAATCTGTCCTCAAGACAAGAGCRTAATATTCTGTTTTAAGCCATTTGTGTCTGATCAACTAGCAACATTTTTTTTTACCAAGATCTCTGGGATTGCCACAGATATTTAACCTCTGAGCTGCAGCTGCTTTTTTTTTGCGCCACTTCAGTAGAAAGCAGAACTGAATATCTGAATATTAGTATCTTAGCTTCTTCATCATCAGTGGCTTTTTTATATTATGTATTTAACCTCTGATCTGTAGCTTTGTTTAAAGTATGTATCAAACTGAAACCTCAGSCTAGCTGAGGAAGATTTTCAGGATCCTGAGCGATCTGCCTGCATACGTTTCATCTTAACACGAGCCTTTAGCTCATTCACTTGTATCTGTTAGCTTTATGCTGTGTGCCGCTGCTGAAAATACTTTTAGAGCTGGCTTTTATCTGGTGTCACTATCCGCCTGCTGCTGGTTACAAGTGCCATAAAAATGACTGAGGTCTTTTTAGACATTGGGTGCTGTCAACGAGTTTTTATTTATTTATAAAAAACACATACAGTACAGTTTTGTCACTGACAAATTAGCAGCCACTTTCTTTAAAATAAAACCTACTTTTATTATATCTCATTTCATCATTAATTAACCCTTATATCAATTTCTAGAATGGATGAGCAAGAACTGTTGGTGCCAATATMTTTTACTGAGGTTATAAATTCAAAGGGTGGCAACTTTAAACCCTATAAAGCAAGGAGGCACAGTTTGTGTGGCGTCTGAGTCCACTGCAGTCACACAGATGCCTCATAGATGATAAACAGGCAACACTCTGACAATCATCTGTCTACAGATGGGACATTTTCGCTGCGGCAGAGCCAGGAAGCAGGTGTGACAGCAGCATATGTGTCCACAGTTCAASAGGACGATGTCTCGCGGCTGGTCGAGACAAACCACACAGACATTCTCTGGGTTCTCTCCAGCTGCGGAGCCGTCAGCTCTCGCTTCGTTAGCGCGTCGTCTTGCGAGTTCAGATCGTAATCTTCCGAACTCCTCTGCTTCTTGCTCCTGCTGCCGGCGGYGGTCCAGGGAACGGTAGTAGCGCAGACCGGCCCAGAGGAGGATGGCTGCTCCCACCAAAGCGGAGGCAATAGCCAGCGTCTTCCACCAAACAGCTATGCTGTGATTCTGCTTGCACAGGGTGTCGAAGTCTGTCAGGCTCAGGAAGTACTGGGGACCATCAGAGGGGGGTCGGAGACTCAAAGAGCCGTCTGCATCTAATCTCAACTCGCCAACACCAGTAAGAGTCGTGCCCACCTATAAAAGAGTTTAATATATGCACAATGGGTTATCAGTGCTATGATAACATTCACAGTGACAAATATTTATTGAATGATTGATTGAATTCAGTTAAAGAGCTCATCTAACAACTGACTTTGAGCATTTCCTCGATCTCCAGGTGACCTTTAGTTTTTACCCCGCTGACAAACTGTCCAATAAGGTCTCCGAAACCGTAACTGGCAGGGGTAAATTTCTCATAGATGACCTCTGTGTACGTTCCAGCTGCTTCCAGAGGGTTCAGAACTTTGACTGAAGTCTTGTCTAATCCAACCAATATAAAGGGCATCATGTTCACCCTTTGGTGCAAGGTTTGCTCTGCATCCAGCCTGCAATGAATATAAAAAAAACACAATAACACACATGCAATAACAAAAATACAGGCTTGTAAAATATCTGACGCTAACGCTGTTCTCACCATGTACGCGAAACACCGCTCCACACCAGCCTGTGCTCTTTTAATGTGAACTTTTGCAACACGCCAAAGATTTCTTTGTGAAACTGACTCGCCAAACGTTCTTGTTCACTCATCACAGTACCTGTAACATTCGTACAAATAAACGGTGGCAGGAATGAGAAGCATAGGTGATGTACATTACATTAAAAAAAATGACAGCTCTTGTGTCAAAGCAAAGAAATTCTGATTACCTTCAATGACAACATACTGTAGACACGACCCTGGTGTAACACTCAGAAGCTCTGTCAGTTTTTTATCGACAGTGAAACGTGGAGCACTCTGAGAACACGACATAAAGATCGTTAAAAATAGGAAGTACTAAGCAGCAAATACAAAAATTTCTAAGTTGACACTGCACAAAATGCTGGACGGACATTTTTAAGAGTAGCCTCCCAAAGACTTTTCTTTTGTACAACACAGCAAAAGAGGGAGAAGACTAAATATAGCTCTAGTTTCTAAGTTTTTACAAGTTTTAACTTTATATCATCTGTTTTAGTGAGTTTTTTCTACAACACATCAGTGCTCTATTTAGACTAAACATTTGAATTGAAAGAATCTGTATTAGCATTCACACAAGATGAAAACAGGCAATTTTGAAAAATACTATGCAAAAGGATACAAACTTGAAGTTTGTTGACAGTTGTCTGGCTCTTCTTATACCAATAGTAGAACAAGCTCGATAAGGCAAGGCTGGCACCAAAACAAACGGCCCCTGTTAAGGTCACAGGAACTCCATCCATACCCTCTAAAGCCAGACAGAGAAGCACATACAACAYAATTTTATTATTATTATTATAATCCATTAATTGTCTCCAAAGAAAAAGAGCCCACTCACTCAGTGTGACATCTTCCAAACAGATAGTTGCACAGAGCTAAAAAACGTGTTAAACAAGTAACAGAAAGCTATACAACTTCCTAGAACATTGTCCTTTTCCCTAAACAATAATGCAAATAACAAAAACATGTATACTTACTTAATTTGATAAAGTATCAGTATGTAAATTCAGAGAACGATTCTGTGAATCAAGCGTAATCAAACCATAATATATTCTTGAATTAACTATACTGCCTAAGAACCTACTCTTTAGCACTGTTGGGRTAAAGGTTATCTTATTATTATTTTGTTTAGTAAGTTAGCTGTTAGCCTACCGATGCTATTAAGGTAAATAATAATTAAATCTACACATTGTGACAACCTCACATTAGTTAGCGTTATGAGCCATTGTAATAAATGCGAGTTTAAATAGACTGAGTGTTTAAATATCAATTAAATTGATTGAAAGTTTCTCTTTTTCCTACCTGAAACAGACAGGACACCTCAAGCTAAGGTTTGCTTGTGTCACGTGACGCCGCGCATGCCCATTACGCTCTTCTAAAGCTTCCACGTTTGTCTTCTCCGGTCTGTCTCCCACCAGAGATGGCAGGAGGCGTGCGAAGAAAGAGTCCGGCTTCCCCATCCCCAATGTGGGGGAAGTTTCAGTCGCTGTGGCAGGACAAACATTTAGTGTTGTTCAAGACGGAGTACACGTTACTAGTTGTTTCTGCGTTGTGGTTCCTGGAGATCGGAATCAACCTGTGGGTCATACAGAAAGTAGCGTGTAAGTAGCCGGGCTGCTAGTTAGCACGCTCCGGTGTTTTGCCACTGTTTTAAATGCATTCAAATGCTAACTAGCTAGCGTTAGCAAGCTACCACCTGTCAGGGAACTGACAGATGTCACTCTGACCACAATAACTTGTTCTGTTTCCGTGTTAAACGGAAAGGTTTGCTTTGCCAGCAGTTTGATTTTAAATATTCCGACAGAACCAAATGTTCACTCGCTTCTYCAGCAGTGAACAATGTTTTATAACTATACAACACTAGCAATTTATGCTACATGGGTAGCATGTCAAATACTAAGGTTGTTGTAAAACTTCCAGCACTAACTTCATTTGTGCAAATTTATTATAAAGTTTAAACTATTTTCTTTAAAAAATAAAGCCATAACATATGGAAACTTTTACCATAATAAAGCAGCCAGACATTTTTGTAATGTTTAAAGTGGTCCTGATCAATAGTTCTCCAGTTTGTTTGTTTGTCTGTATGTTTGTTTGTTTATTTTTTGTAAAGGCTTTGAAATGTTCCACTTGACAATGCTTGTCATTGCCTTGACAATGCATAAAAAATAAGAAAGTGGACAAGTGTATTACAATAAAAGTATGATCCTGAAATACTATTTTATATACAGATTAGTGTTGTTGTTTATATCATTCATTTTATTAATGAACTTCTAATAAATTGTGACAGAATAAAGTACCTGATGATCCAGTCAGAGATTATTTGGTTAATTGTTACATTTAGAAAACTTTTTCATTCCTTGAGTTTGGAAGCGTTTTTATGTTTCTATACTTCCTCAGTCAGTCATTAGATTTAACGTGCAACTTATTTCTTGATAACAACATTGCCCTGAAAATACTAACATAGCTGAAAACAAAACAGCTAATTTTCACAATAAGAAGTTCAGAAATTTGCATAATTATAATTATAGCTGAGAAACTTGTTTACAGATTTTAAAAATGCTTGCTTGGGTGCAAAATAAAAAKACAAGTGACTCGTTATTAGCTGAGYATATTATAATAGTGTGGTTTTATAATGTATACACTCTGCTACGAGGACTATGGCCTGTGGTTATCATTATTGCAGAAAAATGTATTTGAACAAGTGTAAATGAGAGTACAGTATTCTCAAATTATACTAATGTAAAATGAATACGCTAACAYGTGCTAAGATAAATAATTTACTTTTCCTTAATTTAGATATAGTGCAAATAAAAAGATGAYGCGTTTCACATATTTTCCCACTGCTGCAATCAGCTTTATCATCTTCTGTTCGATTTTGTTTAAGGAGACGAGAATTATGACACCAGGATTTATTTTTTAAAGTGTTTATTTTATATTTAGTGTGTGCTGTTTGAAGCGAAGTTTTTGTTCTCCAGTTATCAGTAAGAATCATATCATTCACTGCAGACACCGAGATTGACTGGAAAGCTTACATGGATGAGGTGGAGGGGGTCATAAACGGTACCTACGACTACACCCAGCTAAAAGGAGACACCGGCCCSTTGGTGTGAGTTCTACAAGTTTTTAATTGTGATTGACTTGCATASCTTTTATGCAGACCTCTTGGATTGATCAGCCCTCCTGTTGTTGCAGGTATCCAGCTGGGTTTGTGTACATCTTCACAGCTCTGTATTACCTTACAAACCATGGGGTGAACATTAGGTTGGGCCAGTACATTTTTGCAGGTTTCTACCTCGTTACACTGCTGCTTGTCTTCAGGATTTACAACCGCACAAAGAAGGTYAAGTCTGTTTTTCTTATCTGAATGTTTTTGTTTTGTTTTTTATGTTTTGGCGTATTTATTCGTCTATTGAAATTTTCCAGGTTCCACCGTATGTGTTCTTCTTTGTGTGTTGTGCCTCGTATCGGATCCACTCCATCTTCGTGCTCCGTCTCTTTAACGATCCGGTGGCTATGATGCTTCTGTTCGCAGCCGTCAACCTCTTCATGGATGGGTACTGGACCCTGGGCTGTGGCCTCTACAGGCAAGTGTGAC